CAGATAGACACAAAGGCAGAGAAAAGGTAAGATGAGTACTATAAAAGTAGTCGAATATTATTATTATCATTATATCATATGGCAGGCGTTTTGATTGGCATCATTAGCCATTTAGTTGACTTCAGACTTCACAGAGAGAAGGAAAATCAACGTGAAAAAAATCGAAAGGGGGAGGGAACAGAAGAGTGTTTCAAAGAAGTAAAAGAGGCAGACACAAAGGTAGAAAATAGGTGAGATGAGTACTGTGGAAGTAGTCGAATATGACATACAGTGGGGTGATGGTAGTTTGAAGTCAGAAGTCAACTGCCGGTTATTAGAATTTTTGCTCTATGAGTATACGTTGCCCAGGTTGCACACCCCAGATAGAATAAATGTAATTGTTACTAGAGTGCGGTAACGGGCTAAGCTTTATGGTATTTTTTCCAATGAACTAGCATAAGTGACACGTAAGGGGCCACTATGACGAGTCAAAACCATCTTTACAGATGACCTCATCTGCCAATCGGTATAGCTACATCCTTTAATCACCTCATTTGAATTCTTGTCAGCATCTGAGGATCTGCGGATACTAACGTGAAATCGAAATGGATATTTAACTACGCTAAAGTTGTGTATGATTGCTGATGAAGGCGAAACCGTCTTCTCCTGCTATTTACGTCCAGACATTCGTATTCCAGACATTCCAGTCCAGTATTTTCAACTAGGGAGAATTACAATAGAATGCGATGAGCATATAACTAATTGGAAAAAATACCACTTGCCTCACCTGTGCAAAACTTCTGGATGATGGGTCATAGTGTCTTACTGTCTGGGTCGTTTCTACCCACGTATAATTTACTTTTCATCGATTGACATCAAAAGGTTGTGAACTGTGTTCTTGAGAAATATGCTCAAACTACTTTATTTCTATACTTATCATTATAAATGCCCTAGATTGCTAACAATCTTACGATTAAGAGGATAAAACGGCTGGCAAAAATTGAACTCAACAAACTTTATTCAGGAAGACTACCGAAGGTCACCACCATAAAAGGTTAATTCCCAAGGCTTGTAGCCCAGGCACCCACTATTCTGTCGATATGCAGGCGAACTTTGTGTAGTCAAGGCAAAATAAGATTGTCACTTTGACAGTGTTGCGATTTCCCAGGTATATTCTTCAATCGAGTTAAGTTTAGCTTCGTAACCTTGATAAACACAAACCAGTCACATGCTGCACACAGAGTGGACAAATGGCGAAACGTAAATAGGGGCTCAATGGGACTAGTTACTCGATCAGGCCATATTGTCATCGGTTGCTGTCACTAGGGTCTCCTGCTGTCATGGCTTGTAATCTTTGTGGGTTTACAACTTAATGACTTTATGCTCCTTCATTTTTAACAAAAAAGGCGATGTTTTGAAACGGGTCTTTTTAGACTCCGGTAAAAACATAACACCAATAATATGAGACAAACTGGATTTCAAAATAAAGCATTTGTTTTGTTATTAAAGGGTCATGGTTAACTATCCTCTGTCTAAGCCCTATCTCCGCTTTTGAGTCGTCTGCAGTCTAGCAATACCTAGTAGATAGAAATAGCAGAAAAGCTAGACATCGTAGCATTGGAATATCTTAGATGAGCGTTAATTACTACGAATTTTAAACGGGACTATCGAAAATGAGGCGAGATGCGGAATGGTCATTTGGACTTCGAATTATTGAAATATTTCCCTACAGTTTCCACAGGAATTTTAAGAATCTAATTCTTCTACCCTATTCATGGATTTGTGCTATGGCACTTTTCGTCTGCCTGATGTGTGAAAATGCAATAAATACTTACCAGTAAACAAGAGTTTAGGAAGCATATTGGTAGCCCATAGAGATTTATGATGACAAAGGTAGAATTGACGTAAACATAATGAGTGATAGGAAGAAATAGGTCGTGCTTTCGTTTTTATGATAACGCTCTCGTGTCAGTTTGGATCCACCCTAGAAAGTCCGTGAATGATCATCAAACATGTGAGTGAAGATATGCAAGTTTCAATGGCCCAATTGAAAATGTGCAGATGAGAATTAATAAAAGCTTGGAAAGGTGGAGGTTGTCGCATAGATTTAGTGAAGTGCAATATTAAATTGGAGGTTTCTAATGGCGCAAACAAAAGAAAAATAGATGCATGTTTTCTTCTCCATAGTTTGTTTCTGCTATTTAAATGAATTGCATTTGATTTATGAATTATGCTGTCCCGAAGGTGATTTCAATTCGTTATTCTTAAAATCGTCGATGGGGGCAGAGGTTATGACCGTACGTAAGTCTTAAATGAAGAAGGTGCTACATATCGGAGATGGAACTGTCTAATTTAATTCTGTTCTCCATTCAAGTAATGTACAACTTTCTAACTCGTGTCGTTGTTTAGTATTCTACTTCAATGGCTTTGAACAATTAATTTATTGTTCAAAGATATTCAAAATGTCTTCCATAGGTGGGTTATTAACCTTCAATAATCTTTTATTTATATCTCACAAATAAATGGCAAAATAATAGCCATTAAAGTGAAACTGTGTTCCTTCTTAGAAATTGAATGCTTATACACAGATGCTAATAAGGCGATATTTTTATCGGTCTATTTGTGAAGTCAAGTGTTCAAATGATAATATTAAAGTCATGATGTCTTAAATTAACTATACCCGAGCATATTTGGAACTCACAATGTTTGGCATCAGTGAAAGCAAACGGAAATACCAATAGAATTCAACTTCATCTACCCAAATATCCAATAGAGGAACACCTGTACCAAGACCTTAGACAGGATAGTTACATTTACCTTGTAAAAAATTGAAGCAAAATCACATTTAGCATCCTCTTGTAGGATAACATGTCGATGGGTCGAAACAGAGCCGCTGAGGGGAAATGTGCGCATTATCCCGATTTTCGAACTTTGAATATTTATTGTACAATGAATAAAACTTAAGTAACCATGGTCTACAAATATAATCAAAATCTCGCAAACCAGAATAGATGTCCACCTAGGTTGAACTCATACCTACAATTAACGAAATTACTAAACCATTTATCTATTCAAGCTATATCTAGTATCATAACCCCACAGTTTTCATAATTTGGCTCAAGTATCGTGGATTTAACTACGATTAATCTAGATCTGACAAAAAATGCATCCGTATTTTAGAGGAACAAAGGCAATTTTGAATCAGTGTCTCATAAATGACTTATATCAAGGAAAAATTAGAATGAAATAATTGATTCTATTAAGATTATACCGTTATTGACTACGTTTAAAACCAACCATTGCAGAGTTGTTTAATTAAGATTATTGAGTCGAACGCTTGTGAACCATATCGCTGAATGCAACAAATAAATGCTAAACAAAGGAATATTCGATTCTTAATTTCTTAATTTCAGTTTATTTTAATCTTCTTAATTTCGCTACCTATGTAGAGGCTGATAATGTTACTCAGAGTGAACCAGTACATGAATCATTTAGTACGCTATTGTGCTATTTCCTCTATTGTCTACTCCATGGTAAAGCAAATTAGAAATAAAGAATACATAATTGCTTGTGTAGGCAAAAGCGCATATAAAGCAAGAAATTATAAAGAGCTCATTTGCATGAGTAATCATTCTACGAAATAAAGCTTAATAACTTAAACATATTGATTATCGACTTCACTTGTTTCTTTTATAAAACCTTTTATTCTAAATCACCATAATAAATGAGCGCCAAATGAAATTCAGTTTGGATTTCAAAAGTGAAAGAGAATTAAGCCAATCTAAAGAAAAAGCATTAATTTAACACATGAAACAGCAATTATTTTAAATGAGGGCAAACTGAGTTCTTTTAAAATGTAAGGAGAGGCTTGAGGAACTCAATATTGAGTAACTTTCATCAATAAATAACCGTAACCGATGCTATTTATTTAATTAAAGTATAATAAAACTTCTAAAACTAACTTTCAGCTTTTATATTTATATATTATTAAGAAAGAAAATTATATTTGATAATATTGTTGGCTTGTTTACATGAATGTTGCATTTGTGCATATTTCAACTTGTTGGGGTAGGCATGTGTGCTTTCGGAATAGCCGATGTTCTATATTTAATTATTACATGTTATTCAGTTGCAATATAAAATTTTTAAAATTTTAGTTGTCGATAAAATGTCCGGAGGTGGTTCGGATGGTCAACAACAGCAGCAAATGCATCTGAATGCCCCTCAACAAATACAGCTTACACAGATGCAATCTCAAATGCATCCTCAAATGAGGCCCCAAACTGTTATTCGCCAGTCAATACCGGTCCATATGCAACAGGGCCAAAATGTCCGAATGCATAGACCACAGGTAGTTAACTCTGGTCAAAAGGACAATGTTGTTTCCGCTGCTTCCCCTTTATCAGGGCTGGCAAACGGAGCACCGAGAGTTATTGTAATTAATAAACAAAAGGTAATAAATAGAGGCTTCATCGTCCACTAGTGTGGCGCGCTAGCTTATTTGGGCTGATGTGTAGAATTATACTTAATTTTATCAATCTGCTTTCGTCTCCCTCCCCTTGCTGTGAATTTACTTGATGTGTCAAAATGAGATTTGCTATATTTTTTCCCGTGAAATTATTCAGAGTAGCATGGATGTTTACGTAGTTTTATTAACCATAGATTTCTGCTGGTGGACAAATTGGTCAACCAGTTCATGTCCTTCAACAGAATGTCATGCAACCACCACCTCAAAATATGCTCAATGATGGAAGCCACAACATGGTTGATCAGACGAGACCAATCGCTACAAGGTCAGGCTATAGTCATTTGCGTTCCTTAAACTTAATTTGACCGCGTAACTTATTTTTGCCTTCTTCTCCATACAGTTATGGTCCTCAGGGTACTACTCATATGCAATCAGTACCAATGTATCCAATTGGAGGCCCTGGTAAATTTAATTTAGAATTTTCCTGCTGTCATTTTCTCTCATATTAACTTATTATTGATTTATTTCTCCATGACTTACTTACCTCGCATTTCAGGACAAATAAGGAGACGAAACGGTATTATTAACTAATTTTTAACTCAGCCTAATACTTATTTTTATTTTCGCTTCACACCAGACATTTTGTGGTGTTTCATTACGCTTAGTTGCTTTGTGGTGGCATTTGCTTGTTTGGGTTTTTATATGTTGATCAAAAGGGCAAAAACGGAAAATTTTTATCTACTTTTGAACAATATCGATTATATGCTAGCTGTGATTACGGGCGCATAATTTGGTTTGATAATGATCAGATGTATTGAATCTGTGGTTTGTGGTTTTCCTTTTTGTCGATAATCTCATACGTTTTCTCTTCTCTTTTTCTCTCGATTACGCAGTTATCATTCAAGGTTAGTTCTGTTGCCTATTTCTCCACAGCGCTTTTCTCAACGTTTTTGGTTAAATTTTGCTCTTACGATTGTTCGACATCCTTGTATCCCTTTTTTCTTTGTGAAGATTATACTCCCTCGGTGCATTCGTATCTAATGCATGGAAAGTCTGATTTTGTATAACCTTAATGCTCCTAAACCCACTGCCTGATTGAAATAAAATATTCAATTAGTGAGAAAGAGTCTAATCTCAAATGCATGTGTGATTGTTAACCATAAGCTATTGTTTTGGCATTTGGGGTTACTCAAATGTGCAATTTTTTGAGATTGCCCTCCTCTATGTATAGGTGTCCAACAACCCTTCTATGGCCAGCAAGTAAGAATCGGTTTACCTGGTGGTGTTCAACAGCAAATGGTGGGAAATACCCAAGTTCGCCTGATTCCTAATGCCGGCAACGCCGGAGGCAATATTCCGGTAAATCCCTTTTTTAATTTTAATGACAGATTTTAGTTAGCGTACTTGTATCCGTTTATTACAGCATTCAAATCTTGCATTCTTAGGTATATTTATGTGATTGAGATAACAGTAATACAGTTATTTTACATAACGCTCTCTATATCCTCAGTATTTGAAGAGGTGGGTAGAATTAGCGAAGGGGAGCTAAATTTTTTTTATTGACGAATGCCGCTCATTTCATGAATTACAATGTCATGATTAATTTAAGCAACAATCTTTTTGTTAATAATAGCTAAAATAGATTTCCAGCCTTATTAAATTCGCATTTCCGGCTGACAATTGAAAGGCCCTCCTACTAATGGAAATTGTTTTGAAATCGTGTGGACCTATATTGCACTTTATTATCATTTTATAACTGTCTTAGTGAGCGTTGAATTTTATGCTCATTTTCGAATTGGTCAGGTTTAAAGTATTGGGTTGGTGGTAATAATTAGGGTTATTAGAGCTCCTTTTATTGATAGGTTAGCAATATTTTAACCACGGTACTAAGAGTATTTTCCAAACTAAGGTAAATCTAATATGTTCTTTCGGCTGAGCGTTATTAATATCAATGTGTCATTGTGTCCTTACTAGGGAATGCATATGGTGTCCCAACCAAATCAGGTCCAACAACAACAAATTGGCCACCCACAGCAACAACCAGCGCAACAGCAACACTTTATGGCAACAACGGAAGGTCAACAACAACGAATGATGGTTTCACAGCCTCGTTCAGTTGTCGGTGGTGGTCAGGCGATGAAACTAATCCCCACTTCTCAACAACAACAACAACAACAACAACAGCAACAACAGACTATGGTTTCTCAAGGACCAAGTATGACTATCCAAACTGGTGTTCGGAGCAATGTGTCTCAGTCACAGATGCAGGCGAACCATCCTCAGCAGCAACAAATGGCCAGTGAAAATAGTGAGTTTTATGATTTTTCTCAAATAATTTATCTCTAGGTTACTTTTGTCGATGGTGATCCAGTTCTAGTAATCCATTCGGTTAAAACTTGATTCCAGATTATCGAGTGACTGGAGATACCAGAAGACAACATGTGTGCATGATCTTAACATATTCATATATTTGTGACATATATATTGGCGGG